ATATTTTGATATTTAGTTAATTTAATATTAAAATTTTAGAATAATATTATTTTTATTTTATTTGCAACTTTGGTTGATTGTCACTTGTCTCCTCTTGTGGTTTTGACTTGTTTTTGAAATAGTTTCGTTCGGGAATCCATGCAACTTGATCGTTTCGTCGTCGGTCGTAACTTCTTCATGTTTATTGTATGCAAAATTAGGTTGGGCTTTGATCGGTTTATGTCGTTTTGCATTGCTGGCGCAGCTGAGATGTAAATTTAATGCGATTGCAAAGGCTTGGAACTTAATGGGATTAAATTGCAGCTAATGTTCACAGAATTAACATCTCAAACTCAATATCACAGTAGAAAATGATGCAGAAAATAAAAATTTTAAGTAAATATATCTTTCACTGAAATCATGTTTATTTTCCAAATAAACGAGCGAACCAAATTTGTTCAACAATACGCAAATAAAGTACCAGTCTACCAGTCTACCAATGCTCTCATAAAGTACCAACTTATATACGTACTTAAGGAGCATTCTTGCGTGTGCGACTGCGCGACCGACTTGTACGTATTTGGATAAATTGTGGGCGCAATCGCACCCCCACATAATTACTACGGATACATTTATGTGCAGTCATTTCAAGCAATTCAAGCGCAAGCTTCAAGCTAAACATAGAGATTATATTCTTGTTTAACGTTTGGATTATTCCGAATGCAAGATAAATAGTTTCGATTACAGATTTTATTTGTGTTATATTTACAACACGCTGTATATGAATGGTACTTAAGTAAGTTGGTAAGAGCGCGTATGAAGCATACAAGTTTCTTTAGAATTATTAAGATTCGGACGTTTATGGTCGCTATAATGCATGATCGTAAACAATAGTCGAATGTCCGTTTTCAGAACATTGACTAATAAAATAAATTCAACTAAAGTGGCTATAAAGCCAAATATAAATTGATATTAAACTTTAAATGAGTTTAAAAATATTAACTTAATTATAGAGCATTAATGAATTAAATAAACCAGAATCCAGCTTTAAAACGCCAGTTTCTTCACGGTTTTGAGACTTAAAACATTAAAAAAATACTTTAGTCACGGGCTTTAGTCACGGGGTGGAGCTTCCGCCTGTGCATTTGCCTGCGGTGCAACAGATTTTATGAAGTGGCGTACTCTGTAAGTCAAAAAAAGTAAAAATTGTTATTTTAATTATAACCCATTAACTACACTACCCTACACTTTATTCACTGTAAAAAATATAAAAAATTATGGAAGTAAATTAAATAAACCAGAATCCAGATTTAAAGCGCCAGTTTTTTCACGGTTTTGCGACTTAAAACATGAAAAATTTACTTTAGTCACGGGCTTTAGTCACGGGGTGGAGCATTTGCTTGCGGTGCAGCACAAAATCATATGAAATGCCTTGCATCGTTAGTCAAAAAAGTTAAAAATATTACTTTAATTATAACGCATTAATAATACACTTTATTCACTGTAAAAATACAAAAATTTACGGAAATAAATTAAATAAACCAGAATTGCCAATGCAATAAATAACAAATTTATTTATTGCTGTATGCCGATTGCGCTTGCAATCATTATGCACGTGTTTATTTATTGTCAGCAGCGACGACGCTAAATCATAACGCGTGCCGATTAAATAAAGAACACGGGCGCGCGCAATAAGCGATTTTGATCCGCAATAAACGCGATCGCTGTTTTATCCGCGCGCGCACAAACACACACGTAATGCATAATGAATGAATTAATCGGCATGCATAAATAAACACGTCACATGCGCACGCAAAAAGTCAGGCCACTTCAACTAGCAAAGCAGTCGCGCGGAAAAATTACACGTGTTTGAGTAATTTATGAATTGACATCTTGTCTCCAGACGCGACTTCCTCGTTCTGCGCGCACTTGACAAATTTCTGATTTATGTGCATTCCATGCGCGATTCAAACGTCCTACTTTCTACCCGACAATTTTTTTCTTTATTATCGTATTTCTTGTATTTCTTATGTATTGATTTGTACGCCGCTTTTTTCTTCTCCTCCGTTCGTTCGTTTGGTTGGTTTTTAATTGTTTTACTGCTGTGTGCGGCGCAAACAATTTGTAATTCGAGCCGCGTGTCTCGGCAAGGTGCAGCCGCGGCGGCTAACGAGGAATAAAAATTTATCGAATGAAAGAAACGACAATTTAACATGCTACATCCAGCAGCTACTTTACGACTACTGACGCCGCATTAAATCCTTGCGCGGCGCACTCTCAGTCACTTTTTTGAAATGAGTAATGATAATAGCTTATTGCTGCGGGAACATGCATTGAATAAAATCAAAATTAAAAGTTAAATTTTAATAAACAAGAAAATATTGATATTTGATACGGCAAAACACGTGTTTTAACCAAGTGTGGGCGAATAAAAACATTTTTAAATTATTTTTGTTAAATTTTGGCTTTCTTCTTATTTATCGATTATTTTATGAAATTTTTTTGACACCTGTGCAAAAAGTGTTTAATTTAAGGTTATGTTTTAAGGTTATGGTATTTGACATTAGCTTTAATAAGCTCGTTCTTTATCGGCATATTTTCTGCGACTTTAATGGCCGCTTTGGCAAATTTAACGACATTTTTACGCCGGCTTTTCACGTTCAAACCCATTTGGTCAGCCAATGTCGTAGATATCGGCCATAAACATAAACGAAACATAAAGCCCACGAATAGAACCGGCCTGGTAATAACCACTAGCGCAATAATAGTTAAGATTATTTCTTTATTATAATCTAATGCCGTCGAACGTCGTCGGGCGTTAAGTAAATTGTTTTATTCATGCGGGGAATTGCAATCGGCGCACAGACCGCTTAGCTGGATTTAAATATTTATGAAGTCGATGCATGAAAACCTATGAAAACCACCTCGTGTGGCACAGAGCTGGACAACTTGTTGGCACATCATGTTTGCACATTATATCTATTTGTATTTGCCGATTGAGCATAAATTTCCAGCCGGAGAAAATCGGCGTAAAAGTGCTCATGTCGCGAACAACTATTAGTCCAAGTTTAGCGCTGGAGAGTGCAAATCACGAGTGCCGGATAAGAGTGAGACAAGAGTGGAATTTGCAGTCTTAATCGCCATAATCGTTATTATGCGATTATTATAATCCCCAACGGCGATCATACCAATCTCAACACACAAACACATACAAAACGTATAAAAACAGAAAATATATCGAATTTTTATTAGAATACTATACTTTATTCACTATTATTAATTATATAAAATTATGACTTTATCTATTTAAATAAATTTACATTCTTAGCATCAGTTATCAATTTGCTTTCCACATTTATCCACATAATAAAGCGCTTAAATTTAATAGCGGCACGCAGACGACTTACAACCAGCATTACGTTAATAATAAATTTATTAACGATGCAAATAATCGAAATAAACACTGTGGATATTTTTGTGACGCTGTATCGCTAAAATTAAACTCATTATATCAACTATCAGATATGAAGTGATCTTGTTTTTATTTTTATCATTAAAATTTTCTTACGTTCAACCTGCAAACGACTAATTTTAACCTGTATGCTAATTTATCAGCAGAAAGTAAACCCACACGTTAAATTAATATATGATTTTTTTATTTCTGCATAAATATACGTTTTCCTTCACATTAATTAGCGGTATGAATACGTGGATTGGTGTAGTGGTTCCTTGATGTTGCAATATATATTAATGGCAGTGTTGTGATTGTGTTAATATCGATATCGATGGCTGCACCGTTGGATAATTTACGACCTGACGTTATGCAAATTTTCTGTCATACGTGAAAAGGTGGAAAATTGTTACGCGGCTACCGCGGTTCGCGCTGCATGCTACCGTTTAATGCGACGTCGTCTGTTTTACTGTTGCCCGATCGCAATTACGACAAATTATAAATTATTACACTGGTGGGTATTATCACAACCTGCCGGATTGAAAATTTTATTCTATGAAATTTTACTGGATTCCTAAATTTTTTAGTTTTTAGTTTATTTTTTACTATTTTTTAAAGTTTTATAACTTGTAAAACAAGAAATCTCGGATGGTTTGTCATTAAGCTCATTAAAATTGCACGCGGAGTAAAGAAACATTAGGGTTGAGGAAAAAATTCAGATCACGCACCTCGAAGGGATTGCGATATGGCGATTCACCGGCGACCTCATCGCCACAAGTGCCAATTAGCGCATGCCTAACGCGATGTTCGACACTTGTCGCGCGTTTTGCCTTTAAAAGGCGCCGGCTTTTCGTAATGGCGACGTGTTTAATCGACCATCGATTTCTTATAGCGCACTGGATCTTGTCCGGTACTCACACATATTATGCACGGTGACTGTTTCTCGAAAAACCTGATGCAACCGACAAAAAATTCATGAAGAGATTTCGAGCACGTGTTAAAAATCGATTAAAGTATTCCTGGAAATTTTAGTGAAGTATTTTAATCTGTGAAAAGTAAATAGATGAATGGATATAATAATATCTTTTTTTGTATCGTTCAACAAAAATAGTATATTAAGTATTAAGTGGTTAAAAAGGAGTTTTTGTCACGAGACTGATGGAGAGTGAGCGTAGCGAGCTTTAATTAATCGAGCGTTTCATAATGTTTAGCCACGTGATGCTTATCTACGCTATTATTCTACTTGCGCATGCGCAAACTCCATCCCGTGACTAAAACCTGTGACTAAAGTATTTTAGTCACTGCTTTGGTCATCCGTGGATAAACTTTCATTTTTTGTTTCTCAAAACCGTGAAAAAACGGAATTTTTAAAGGAAAAATTTGACAAAGTTAAGCAAACGCAAATCCCACCCCGTGACTAAAACCCGTGACTTAAGTATTTTAGTCACTGCTTTGGCCGTCCGTGTGTAAAATTCCACTTTTTGTGTCTCAAAACAGTGAAAAACTGCATTTTTAAACAAAAAAATAGAAAAAAACTATTTAATAATATAAAAATTGATCAAAGTAACAAGTTTCATAATGTTTGATACACCTAAACATCAATTTGACAGATATTTTTCATTTCTCATCTTAAATAGTGATTTTGTATAAAATATATAAAGAATTCCTGCTTTGGCTTGCTTTGCCAAAGGTAAGTGATTATTTTTATATGTTTACGTAGGCGTAAGTTTACCATCTTCTATATGATCCTCTCCTCTTATCCGATACATTCAATCCTAACACAGACATAACAGCCATCCCATGTTGGTCGCTTATTTCATTTTTATTAGCGTTTAAACGGATTATCGCTCACTAAACATCTTTAATATCCATTAAGCACGACTCCTAATAGATTTACAATCTTAATACCACATCGAAGTATCTATCAACTATCGAGTGTATCAATTCATCGATATTCTAGCAGGCATTTTGTATGCATGAAACGAGGACTTTGATTAATATTAGCATTTTCTTTATGAATTGATATCAGATATCTGACTGGTCGTAAAGTCATAACTATACAAATAATTTGTGAAGATGTTTTATGACATTGTAAATGAACAAAAGAAATACTGAAATATTATTGCTTTCATTACAAATCAAATTTATATTATTAATTAATTTGATTTAAATAATAATTATAAATGGTTTTCCATCTGTTTTGTTAAATTTACTTTTAATGGGAATAAAAACCGGTAGCAATTAATTTTTAAATGATTTTCACTTGCAAGTTGATTTGTTTATGAGCAATCTTTAACAACCTATAATAATAATGGCTAATTAATGTTTATGAGATAAATCTGGCTTCCATTTCCTTAAATTTTGTCTTGGTTTCTAATCAAAGCACATTTTTCTGAAATAAATTGATATTTAAGTGGTACGTCCGTAAATATGTTGTTTTTTATGCATTTGCAATTTGAGCTGGTTGAACTGAAAGTACTGTCATGTACGCGCTAAGTAAAACAACACAGCGACGCTTTGATGAGCGATAGCTGGACGTGATAGCGCGATAGCATCAAGTCTCTTCGACAACTCGACGGAGAAGGCCATTAAGTGTAATAAAGTCGCAGCTTTTTGGCTCGCAGCGCTGTAATTTCCACTCAAGCCACGGCTCGAATTGAACAACTATTAAAACTAATTGAAACTGTCTAATGAACGAATGCACCATCTGTCTTTGCTTTAACTTTTTCTAGTTTTCTAGACAGAAACTAAAATATTTCAAGATTATTTTCTGAAATACGTCTATAGTTGGTTTTAATGAAAGGTTTTTTTTTCTTCTGTTAATTCGATAATAATTAAAAAGTCGTAAACAATTTATATGCAAATATATAGTTTAATCATCGCACCCATGAACGCACTCATTATTACTTTTTTTTGCATATCAAAATAATTATTGTCTGCAATATGCACACGCGAATGGTTAATGCTTCCTTCCTGTTCTCGTCGCGTTTATCAGCGAGCGCAAAAAATAAAACCGCACAGCGCAATTAATATCACATGGCGTCGCGATGAACATTTTAAACATTTGCGAGTGTGGTTAATAACTTCATTTTTTCCATGCGGCATGTTATTGCTTACAATAAGTTGTTTTTATATAAATGCGGCGTTCTTGTTTCCGAAAATATGCGCTTAATTAGAAAGGAAGTCTCAAGTTGTGAAATTGCATTCGGGCAGTCAGTCGAAGTCGCGTCAATTTGCTGGGGAATCGAGGAATTTAAATAAGATAGTTATTGCGGAATGCTCATGGCACCTGCCTACGCCTTCCATTAAGAATTAAGTGATACACTTAAACGACACTTGATATATTGTAGATAAATATCTTATAGTAATGCCTAATATGTTTTAAAAAAGAAAAAAGTTGAAATTTACGAAAATATTTTTGATATTTCTAGTAATTAATTAAATACCTACACAAAACTGTTTAAAATTTTTAATTTCAAAATTTTAGAAACAAAAATTTCGAAGAATTTAAAAAATTAATTATTATTAATGTAAATATTTATACATGCCTTTCAATGGTTGTCAGAGTCGATGGTAATGATCACGAAAGGAGCTGCAACGAAAAAAAAAAACACACGAAATTCATTAATATTCATTTTTTTCGCTCGAGCAGTAATATTCTCTATGTCTAACGCTAATATGGTCTGACAGCGAAAAAATCTTATGCAAGACGCTGTCGTTCAGCGCATTCGGAATGCAGCGACCTTCGGCATTAAATTTATTATTCGCCAGTCATAAATTATACGCTTTTTTATAAATAAATCAATGTTTTTGTTTCCAATCAAACAAAACGTAAATAGTATTTCACATTACAGTTAAATTTAAAAAGTGAAGATGGCTCTAGTAATACCATTTCATCCAAAAATATTTATTTATTATTAGTAGAAGAATATTTATCAACAAAACAAGATAAAATTTACCTTGATTCAAAATCACGTGTTTTGGTATTTTTACTCTTAAGATGAATTTATTGAGTATAGATGGCGCTAGTAATACCATTTCACACAAAAATATTTATTTATTTTTATTATCAATAAAACCATACTTTTCAACAAAACATGATAAACATTACCTTGATTCAAAATCACGTGTTTTGATATTTTTATTCTTAAGATGAATTTATTGAGTATAGATGGCGCTAGTAATACCATTTTACATAAAAATATTCATTTATTATCAATGAGATGTTGTTTTTCATTTACCTTGATTCAAAATCACGTGTTTTATTATTGTTATTGTTATTGTTAACTATCAACTGTCGTTAGCATGATCGCGCTCGTTAACCATGCACACGGATTAAAACCAGACACTAAAAAATGATAATCAATGCTATTAGCACACAATCATGCACACAAAGAACACTACCAACACCACGACGCGACCAATGATGATTTGAACATCAAGGCTCTGCTGCGGCTTAAGTTGCACATTGTTCTCATTCGAGGCGCGCGCACGCTCAATTGTCGTTTGTGTTCGTATTCACAACGAGATAAATGTATGCGCGCGGCGAAATAATTTCGACGTGTATTTACATATATCGTCAATGCACGCGTGGGTGACTACCGGCAACGCAAACACCATTAATTGGATATTAGGCAATTACTGCGTCGGTCATTAAACAAAGACATTAAAATAATTATGTTTGTTATTATCCAAGCAATAAAAAAATAGTGAATAATAGTTTAAATATTATATTATTATTCGGCTGTGAGTAGTTGGTATTATTTTTAATAACACGTTGTTAAGACAGATCGAATGTCCGTTGAAAGTCATTTAACCATGACACCGCCTTCGAATCCATTCACCGTGGCGTGTATCATAATTGCCGCGTATCCGCTGATTCGATTATGCATCGCGACGTCGATAATAATAATTTAGTAATTACGTTTTCCAATCGCTTCACGCTGCGCGCCTGTATCGTGGTGGTCGGATTCGTCGGACAATTATGACGTTCCCACTCTAATGAGCAATGAGTGCTCAACTATTTCCCAGACGCGATTGGCTGCCCCCCAAACAAATCTAATAAACATTTATTTATACACACGCGCGTGTAACCTGCCATTATCCTGCGTGATAATTGCTGCAATGGCGCGCACCGTATGTAATTATATTTTCCATTTGAATTTGTTAATTGGATGCCAAGAGATGGCATTCGGAATGGGTGGGTGCATTATTATTTTTTTCATTTTCATTTTTGTAATTTATTTGCTTGATTATGAGCGAATGTTAATTATTAAAGTGATTTATTTTTTGTTTCGTATTTTACGCTATGCCGTTTTTGTGTTATTTATTTATATCAAAAATAAGCGAAAATAAATCAACATCTAGTCAAGATTACATCGTTTCTATGACTATTTTTCACTTTTGTGAGTTATGAGACGACAAGCAAGAAATTAATTTTTGTGGTTTTAACATTTTGGGTTAATTTTATTAATTATTAAAAGTTGAGCGTGTTTTCAAGTAGGAAGTAAATTTAAATCGTGTATAACGATTAAGGCGATTATTCCACACAAAAGATTTCATCAAATTTTTACCTTTTGTGCAATATTTACCAACAAACATGCTGGGGACTTAATCATGTATAAAATAGTTTATTTACCGCAATAAGAAAGAAAGATACAAAGTGTTTTATCGCAAGCGTCGCGACGCTTATTACGAAATAATTTCCTAGTCACCATATTCATGAGAATACAGTCAATTCAATTTCAAAGTCATCTGCATAGGTAGCACATATCAACAATTAACTCCTGTTCTGTAAGCAATACAAATTCAATTAAACCAAGCCTTAATCCATTAGTAACGAACCACCCAGATTCTTCATTCACTTCATTCGCTACATTAACAATAATGTTAATATTTACAACAATATTTACTGTTTTCCTTCTGTATGCTATACCCATGTGTGTATTTATGACCCAGTTATTAAATTAATTTCTCCGCTGGCCAGTGCAGCGCGTAAAAGTTGTGTAAAAGTCTGAATTTATATCTTGGCGTTCGGGCGTCGTTGATTATTCGGCCGCGATGGCGATCGCGATGGCGGCGAGCGCGCGCGCCAACGGCGGTAGCACTTAACATATCTTAATTAACACCCGACGCCGCGGCCTAGTATATGGAGGCAATTAGCGTATTAATTGGCAACCAACGAAACCCTATTAATCTTTATTGACAGCTATGCGATGCATATCGCTATCGGGCGCTCGCTGTGCAAACCTGCAAGGTTTATGCAATATTAAACTGATTGGACGATATTATGCGTTGAATTAACTTACAATCGAATTTTTATTCGTGGAATACATAGTGTGTGAGTGTAAACAGTGATAAAACATCAAGAAACGTTTGTTATTGTTTTTTATTCGAGGTGATAGTAACAAAAACGTTGTGTACCAGCTAAGTTGTTTTTAAACCCGTTAGATGGCGCTAGTGGTACTGATTTGACTAAAAATATTAAAAATAAATGCAAATCAAGCAAAGTCAGGTTCAATTGATATTGAATTTGGTTTAGAGATACAAAATATAAACAAACAAAGTCATTTTATATTTTTTGATATAAATTATTTTACTTGTTACAGATTTAAATGAATCCATTCGACAAATTATGGAGTTTTAAAACATGGTGAGTGATTTTAAACACTTTGTATATACTTCACCAGTGAAAACACAACCCAACTCGATTAGTTGTTTGTTTATTTGCGCTAAATTGGAATGAAATACCCATCAAAACATCGCCTCGGGTTCTTTTCGCAATCTTTCACCACATCTCACCGGCAACGAGTGTTAAACACACATTCGTACCTCCTGCTTGATATTTTCTTCGTGTTCTTCGGAAGTGTGTACAGCAAAGTGATCATCTTTGCTTGTGGGTACAAATAAATATCAAAACACAATCACGTAGATAAAGATAACAAAAAATATCAAATGTTAAACGGTTAAATAGGCAATGGGCCCCCATCAAGTTTTTATTTCCATTTGTATTTACTCTTTGTTTCGTTTTTGTAGTTTTTTTTTGTTTTTATTTTATTTTTATTTTATTATTCCGTTTCATTCCGCACGGGCGGTAATTTTATATGTGTGTATGTGTGTTGAGTGCCGTTCGCGTTTTGGTCGTGTTTGCTTTTCGCGTTCTCGTGCTTCCTACTTTCGCTTTTTTTTTATGATTATTGCTCCTACCAAAGCATTCTTCCAACTATTTCTATACCATCTCCAGTGTTGGTTGTGCAGCATACCTGGCATGTGGTGTTGGGTTAGATTCCAATTGGAATTAGAAAGGTACGACGTATTTTATTGTGCGAACGGGTACGTCGCACGTGAAAAAACGTGCATATGATTAGCGTCGTGTCGCGCGGGGGCACAAGGTGTGTATATGCATGTGTGTGTGTGTGTGTGTGCTAGGTAACGCGGACATCTGCATCCGCCTGCTTGAGTGCACAAGCTGCTGCTACAGCTCGAATTTTCTATTCGTAGACTCGTACTTACAACTTACGACTTTTTGTGTTTAGTGTTTGAATTCTTCGTGACCTTTTTTTTTTTAACTTTCAAAGACAAATGTTGAGTTGACAAAGAGTTGTGGGTAGACTTTCTGTTTCGGTTAAAGATAAAATTTGGATGTTTAGATATTGAATGTTACGTGACTGGATAGTGGCTCCTCTAATGGTGATTCTTTGAACTTTTTGGTCGTTTTTGTCCCTTTCCTCTCTTCCGGTGATAGTTTTCGACCCGTCTGACTCGATTCGCAATTGGATTGCTGCCCTAGCGAAGGGCCGTGCTCACGCGCCCGCTCATGCGTGTCCCTCTTTCACGTCACTCACTTCCCCTTTTTTCCAAGGCTTCACTTTTGCTTTCCGCTGTACACCTTACGTAAATAGAAAGGCGGAAGGAGGAAAAAGGAAGGCGAACCCTAAAAAAACGCCCTACCCCTAACTAAAAACTTAAAACCCACCACCAATATTTCAGGAAGACTATATTACACACACACACATATTTATATTTACACTGGTGTAAGTTTTAGGTCGTTGGATCAAAGGGTTATGCCCATGCCCAACAATAGGTTTTAATCATATGCATTATGAGAACATTTGTGCTGCGCCTCGAAAAGACCTCAGGTAGAGATGTTGTCGGAAAGCGAGAGTAGAAAACGGGTTTGAAACCAAGAGTGAAGAAAAGGGTTAAAATGTTGTGCGCATCAGTCGGGTATCATCTCTGTGCACAGACATATCGCGGCTTGGTTCATCCGTTGATGTAACATAAAAATAAATCAGTGATTATTGTATTGTTTAAAAAGTGATCTTTATCGTGGTGTGGTTAAATCGGATGTCCGTTTCATCAATCGTCTGCGTGTCCGATGTAACAAATTTATTCGGGACTTGCACCTCCAACGTCCGGTCCCAAAACCTAACAAGTTAAAAACTCTAAAAAAACATCGCCAGCGCTTCCCGTCTGTCCGCATTCTCGAAAAATATTGTTGAATGTTTTTTGGCAGACAACATGGAAGCCGATAAAGTTTTCGAGGGCTTCTCGGTTGCGTTTTGCATGCGCTTGCGTTTATCCGTGCCCAACCGTACCTTTTACCTTTCTGTTCGTGTTCTCGTGCGCTTTGCGGTATGGCGTGGGCCGGAAAATAAACAAAACTCGAGTTGTCGAGTTTGGAACCTGTGCGCTTGTGTTTGTGGTATGTTATAATCGTGTGGGCGCTCCGGCACAACTGAAAGAGTGCACACGATAACCATCGACTACTATTTGGTGTGTTTCGATTCGATGCGAGCGCGCAAAGAAAGGCTTTTTCCGTTGTGGCTGGCGTTCGTGTAGTTTATATACTTCATCTCATTTGGTGCTAACTGACAAAAGCTTTTCGAGCGTTTTTCGAAACACGTGATAAAACGTTTCGGCACGCACTATTTTAATTATGTTCGCATTTGGTCATAGTCGTGAGCCATAAAGCTTAGGCATTCCGAAAATATCTAACCACACACAATATAAGCTTAAATGATAGTTGACATGCGAGGTATAAATAAATATAACCAACAAATAATCAAAATTGTTAAATTTTGTTTCTGCAGAGAGCATTTTTAGACAAATCATGTACTAAACGGCATAATCATAATCTAAACATGCTTGTATTGTTTGTAACACTCGCGGAAAGTAATTAGAAGTTAATTACAAGAAGCACGACACTTTTTAACACCACCCGTGATTAATTTAAATCAGATTTCATTAAAAAATTAAATTACTTGAAACATAATTGAATTTTCTTTTATTTTTAATTTTTTTGAGGTAAAAAATATAAAAATTAATGTGATTGTGATTGGCTACGCCATCTTGTCATACATTTTGTTTTCCGCGATGCATTCGACCTGCGCCGGACGTTATTTAATTAAACGACGCCTTAATTAGCAGCTTAATCGTTGTTTGCGCCGCTAATTATAATAACTCGAACGCGGTGCTCTTATATATAAGAAAGGAGAATGCACCCAATACAACACGCATAATATTTGATGAATTTAATTAAAGTTATGCTTTTAATTGGCACTTAAAACAATTTATTCAAAAAAATGCCTTCAGAAAGGTAAAAAAACCAACAGTTATTGACACAAAGACCTATTTTAGACAATCTACAACCATTGTTATAGCGAAGAAGCGTTGCCATGACAACAACACAACAAAGTCTTGAAGCGTGCACGGTTTGATTCAATTTGTCGTTTGTTTTATGGCCTTCTTTGTTTCCGCTGCACTTTTGCCTTTGCGTACGCGTGTAAGTGAAAAGGTAAGCTTCGTGTATTATTATTTATTTACGCGTGTATGTTGTGAATATAGCGAAATTAGGTTGCGAACGAAATTGAAGACGTCGAGAGTCAAGATTGAGAGCTTCGGATTGAGAAACGCGCTCGGGCGCTTCTTTTGAATACTCGCCTTGTACGTTTTTGAGCAGATAATGCATAATATGTATCGCATCAGACATCATATAACATTTTACAATACTTTTTGTAATGATATTGCTTGAGGAATATTCATGCGTATTTGAATCATAGATTTTTCTTTCTGAGAACCTCAAATTTTTGCTACAAGATGAAAAACTGAAACGCATCGAGAGCTATGGCTTTAGTGGCGGAGGAGAAGCCGTGAGCCTGCACGCTCCCTATTTCATCCCTTTTGAGTTATTGCATGGCGAATAAAATTTATTACAATCTTTCGTCTTCTTCGCGCTGCGGCGTCCTCAGATTAGACGCGAATTGTGCGCGCGAGAAGACGTAAAACGTCGCAGCCACGTAGAAAATTTGCGAAATATTAAAATCGTATTATCGCATATTCAATTCGGATTCGACACTCACGCGAGGTGCAAGTCTCCGTACTATTCGTATTATAAATGGTCTCAGAGTGTCACACATGTGATACCGAGTCGTATTTCAAAAGATAAAATTTCGTTAAAATTTTTATTTTTTTATGAATTATCTAACTGATATGCAGATGCTCACCTATTCTAATTTTGATTCCCAGACTACCCTTTTTTGTTGCCTGTGAGGCGAAACAATACGATAGGGTTGACGACGCGTCTGCCGTTTTTTAACCTTTTATACCTGCTTAGTGATGCACTGGTGCATGGTTGCATTTGAATATCTGTAAAATATGTATTCTATTCTTTGGCATTACTCGCATTATTGGGTTTTCCGATGTAGGTATCAACGTTTTTACTGCATATAAATTATATTTTTTTCAATGCGCATCTATTTGAATAGATTCGTTGCTTTTACCATGTGGGATAATCGATGAATTATGTCTTCGTTTTAATCACAATGACGACTTAAAAGGAAGAAAGGAAATGAGGCAACAACTATGAATTGAAAAATTGATTACAGGCGGAATTAATGTGCTATATGATGATTTAAGTGGGATAATAAATTTTATAGAAAATCTAAAAATGGTAGAGATTAATTTTTATTCGATAAAAATTCAATTATCTACACCCACAAATTGTAAAATGTGAAAATATTTTATCGATGAGAATGTTTTTGACTTGTAAGACGCATGTGAATCGAATCCCACAGGAATGAATAATTAATTAATGCGCTCGACACAACTATTACACTGTTTCGATGTTCATTCGAGTGCACCATCACTTTTTCCATTTGGAGCAGCTCTGCATAGTCATTATCAAACTGAAATACATGAGACAAGGGACACTTAATGAGTGGTTTTTGATATTGTGCTCTATTAGACTATAGGTATGGATAGTCTGCGTTATTTACATGAAATATTGTCATGTCTGGACGATGATTGCGGTGCAATTGAATGTGTCATATTTATGCTCTTATGAAATATGAAGAGAACAATCCCTAATTGCTGTTATTAAATTGACCACGTGATTAGGGGTTGAATTTTTTGATTTTTCCTTAAAAAAAATTTTTTTAATTTTTTTTCTTTGCAATTTTCTTTAAAACAACAAATGTGATCGCAGTGTCAGCCAATGTTTGCTCATCGGCTTCACTCGACTCATCCAATATATTCTGTCAATATCTACACGTAGCACACATGCAATATATACAAAATACTGAAAGATGAGAAGACACTGTAAACAAAAACAAGTAAAAATCCTAATAAATTTGATTCAACCATAAAAATGGA